GAGACAAGTCCAGCTGGACTTCTCCTATGCGCGCGGGGGTTGCCGGAGAGCCAAGCACCCATAGGGCAAGTCCAGCTCCGCCGGCCATCGTTGCAGCCTGGTTTGCCATCGAATGTGATGTTTTTTTGTGCTGTTGGTGTTCCGCTCGATGTGTGGCCCAGAGTGCGGGCATCCTCTCGTTGTGGCCTCGGCTACGCGTAAGAGTGACCTCTCGATGGAGTGACCTTTGGTGCGGGCCCAAAGGGGCCCCCCCAGTCGCTGATCGCGAAGCGGCAGCAGCGGCTTGCGCGCCCAAGTTTGTCCACCGCGCGTCCCTCCCCAAGTCGCGCACCACAGGTCTCTCTTGCCCAGGGCCACTCCTTACTGTACGTGTAGCCGATCACCTGGTCTGCCCCTTACACGCAGCCCGTACAGGCCGAAGGCAGCCGGAGAGGGCACCCGCAGAGACCCGAGATGGCCCAGGACGATTCCAGCCAGGATGTCACCACAGCTTCCCAGACAAGGCCCAAGCCAGCCCAAGAAAGTTCCAGGATGGCTCAAGAGGGCAGCCAAAATTGGCAAGAAAGTCCAAGATGCCACCAGGAAGCCCCAAGAGGCTTCCAAGACCAAGACGTTGTGCCCACTGCGGCCCTGGCGGTGCTTCGGGACCAAGAGGGCTGAGGATAGCCCCGAGGAAGGCATGGACCCCTGAAACATCTCCAAGGCGTCTCAAGATACCTCTAAGCATTCGTTTCCTTGACCTGGAGGAGAAGCAGCATCCCAGGTCCCACATCCAAGGTAGAAGGAGCCCTCAGGGAAAGGTGGAGAGGAGGGTAGAGGTGCGAGAAAGTCGTGCGAGGTGGGTGCTGTAGAGCTCCGTGATCGCCTCCACCAACTCGAGCTCCACAGGGGCAGCGAGCCGAGATTCGCCGCCGCCGTCGCCGCTTCGGAGAGCGCCAGAGGCTTGCCCGCTGAGGGGCTCCGAGCCTGGCAGCCCAGGCCGCCGCCTGCGGCAGGAGCTCCGCGGCGCGGGCGTGGAGCGAGGCCCAGGCATCGGTGCCTCGACATGCCCGTCCTGGCACACACCACGTACCGTGCTCAAGACGTCCGTGCCGATATGCTGCGTGCTGCCTCAACGCATTGGCCCACGTTCTGGCGAGCGCATCGCGTCCGACCTACTTTTCGGTCTGCCTTCGGCGGCGAGCGAGGGGGGGAAGTGAGAAGGAGAAGGCCTTCTCAGAAGGCGGCGGGCATGAAGTCGGGCATGTCCCTCTACAGGAGGAAGACTCAAAAATAGTAAAAAATCGTATGGGGACGATTTTTCTACTATGGTTGATCACTTGTTGACCATGAGTGACAAGTTTTAATAGTTCTTTGGTACTCTTTATCTTTCGTCCAAATTCCGCTTGTAAGGGGGACATGCCCGACCTAACCGTAGCAACGCGCTGCGTGTTGCCTGCTGCCTGCCAGGGGCAGCCAGGGGCCTGGACCTCTGTGCCGCCCTCGGCGCCTATGCGTGCCTGGCCGCCGAGCGAGGCTTCGGGCGAGACTCACGACATGGGGTGCGCCCCTCTGGGCCCCGCCGGCGCTCAGCCTCCTCCTCCTCCTCCTCCTCTTCCTCCTCCTCCTCCTCCTCCTCATTCACCCCCTCGCAGGAACAGACGTTGCTCCTCAAGCTACGGTCACTCCTCCTTCTCCCCCTCCCCCTCCTCCTCCCCCATCCCCTCCTCCTCCCCCTCCTCCTCCTCCTCCCCTCCTCCTCCTTCTCCTCCTCCTCCTTCTCCTCCTCCCCCCTCCCCCTCCCCCTCTCCCTTCCCCTCCCCGTCCCCTTCCTCCTCCCCCTCTCCCCCCCCTCCCACTTCTCTCTCCTCCCCCTCCTCCTCCTCCTCCTCCTCCTCCTCTCCTCCTCCTCCTCCTCCTCCTCCTCCTCCTCCTCCTCCGTGCGTGGAGCGAGGGCGGAGCAGCAGGCGCGCGGCCGAGGGCGCAGAGCGGGACACCACCTTGGCTGCCTCGAAGCGCCCGTCTTGCAGCGCAACAAGTCGCGTGCTCAAAAACGTCCGTGTCGTGTCCGCCTTGGTTGCCCTCTTGGGGCGCAACACTTGCCGTGCTCAAGACGTCCGCGTTGACACTTTGCTAGGGGAACGAAACATGGGATAAACATAAAAGCGTTTTGGCTCATCGTGTTGGCCCACGTGTCGGCGAACGTACCGCGTCAGACTTACGTTTTCGGGCTCCGTGTCGAGCTCCGTGTCAATACGCCACGTGTTGCGTGCTGCTCATCGGGGCAGCTCAGATGTCCGCCCAGCAGTCGGCCTCCAGGCCGCCGCCGCTGTCGTCCGCCGAGCCGCCGCCGCCGTCGTCCAGGGTGAGCGCTGCGGGCTCCACCTGCGCGCCAGCGCCTCGGCGCTCGCGCGCCCGCGGCCGCCGCCGCCGCCCAGGCGCGGGGCCTCACGGCGGCACGGCTTGCGCGGGAGCACCGGGCGGCTCCGCAGCAGCTCGACCCTCGGGCGCGGGCGGGCTGCCGAGGCCGCGCCTCGGCCTCGAGGGCCGCCGCCGCCGTGCGGCAGAGGCCCTCCGCAGCTCGGCGCAGCCGGACGGCCGCCGAGCCACGCGCCAGGCCCGCCGCGGCGTGCACCGTCAGTGCGGCCCGGCGGGCCGCCCCGAGTGCAGCGAGGAGACGGATGGCCGCCGGCAGCGGAGGCCCGCGGCGGGCGCGCGAGGCGGCCCGGCGGCGGCAGGCTCGGCGCGGGATCGGCTGTGATTGTGTGCGTGTGCTGTGTGTTTGTGTGTCGTGTGCTGTGTGTGCTGTGTGTGCTGTGTGTTGGGTGTGTGTTGGGTGTTGGGTGTTGGGTGTTGGGTGTTGTGTGTTGTGCGTTGTGTGGTGCGTGCGTGTGCGTGTATGTGTTTGCATGTGTGTGGTGCGGGTGCGTGTGTGCGTGCGTGCGTGCTTGTGGGTGCGTGTGTGTGTGTGTGTTGTGTGTGGAGGTGTGTGCGTGTGTGCGTGAAGGTGCGGATGTGTGTGTGTGAAAGTGTGTGGCTATATGGGTGTGTGGGTGTGTGGATGTGAAGGTGAAGGAGCGTGTGTGTGTGTGTGTGTGTGAAGGTGTGTGTGTGGGTCAGTGTGTATGTGTGTGTTCGTCTGTGTGTGTGTCTGTGTGTGTGTCTGTGTGTGTCTGTGTGTGTGTCTGTGTGTGTGTCTGTGTGTGCGTGCGCGTGCGTGCGTTTGTGTGTGGTGTGTGTGAAGGTGTGTGTGAAGGTGCATGTGTGTGTGTGTCTGTGTGTGTCTGTGTGTGACGGTGTGTGAAGGTGCGTGTGTGTGTGTGAAGGTGCGTGTGCGTGTGTGCGTGAACGTGTGTGTGTGTGAAGGGGTGTGGGCATATGGGTGTGTGGATGTGTGGGTGCGTGGGTGCGTGCGTGCGTGCGTGCGTGTGTGCGAGCGAGCGTGCGCGCGTGCGTGCGTGCGCGCGTGCGTGCATGCGTGCGTGCGTGCTTGCGTGCGTGCGTGTGCGTGCGCTCGTGTGTGTGTGTGTGTGAGTGCGTGTGTGCGTGAGTGCCTGTGTGCGTGTGTGCGTGTGTGCGTGTGCGCGTGTGCGCGTGTGCGCGTGTGCGCGTGCATGTGTGGGGGTCTGCGTGTGCGTGTGCGCTGCCGTGTGTGTATGTGTGTTTGTGTTTTGTTTTGTGTGTGTGTGTGGGTGTGTGTGGGTGTGTGGGTGTGTGGGTGTGTGTGTGTGTGTGCGTGCGTGCGTGCGTGCGTGCGTGCGTGCGTGCTGCGTGCGTGCGTGCGTGCGCGTGCGTGCGTGCGTGCGTGCGTGCGTGCGTGCGTGCGTGCGTGCGTGCGTGCGTGCGTGCGTGCGTGCGTGCGTGCGTGCGTGCGTGCGTGCGTGCGTGTGTGTGTGTGTGTGTGTGATGGGGGGGGGGGGCGTCTGTGTCTGTGTCTGTGTCTGTGCCTGTGCCTGTGCCTGTGTCTGTGTCTGCGTGTGTGTGTCTCTGTGTGTGCGTGTGTCTGCGCATGTGTGTTTGCGTGTGCGCGTGTGCGTGTGCGTCTGTGTGCGTGGTGTGTGTGGTTTTTGTGTGTGTGTGTGTTTTTGCGTTTGTGTGTGTGTGGTTGTGAGTGTGCGTGTGCGTGTGTGTGTGTGTTTGTGTGTGTGTGCTTGTGTGTGCGTTTGTGTGTTATGTAGGGGGGGTCGTGCGTGCGTGCGTGGGCAGGCTGGCGTGCGTGCGTGGGTGCATGCGTGCGTGCGTTCGTTTGCGTGTGCGTGTGTGCTTGTATGTTGCGTGTGTGTTTGTGTGTTTGTGCGTGTGTGTGTGTGTGTTTGTGTGTTAGTGTGTACGTGCGTTGGTGCTTGTGTGTGTGTTTGTGTGTGTGCGTTTGTGTGTACGTGTTGTTGCGTGCCGGGGCTGGTTTTCGGCTTCGACGCTGCCGACTCGCCACCCATGGCCTGCTCCTCGGTTCGCCGCCTGGGCCTCCCATTCCCCTTCCTCGCTCTGCACGGATGCCCCTTCCGTGAGTTCCCGCGCAGTGTGGCTCCCTATGGGTGAGCCCTGCGTTTCTCGCCTGGTTGCCGCGCGAGTGCCCGGCCGCCTTCTCGCTCTCGCCCGCCTGCTTCCGACTCCGCCGCGTCGCTGCACGCGCGGGCACTGCGCCAAACAGTGCGTGTCGGGCGGCGGTCTGGCCATGCCACTGCGCCTCTCCATCCCCTCCCCGCGTCCTCCCCTCCCCAGTCCGACACGGCAGCGACCTTGGCGCGGCTTGTCAAGATTGATCGCCACCATTGGCCGTCAATGGGCCGATGTCGAGCAGCCCTGCGCAGTCGGAAGGCCACTGTCGTTCAAGACGGAGCCGCGCGGTGTCAGGAACCGCCCGCCGTAGCCGTTTCGGCCCGGGCCTCGCGAGCTCGGTGCGGGTGCGTCTGCTCGCGCCGCCTCCCTGCGCACGGAGGGCGCTCGCCCAGTGGTGCTGGGCTGGGCTCTGCGCGCGCCGGCGTGCGCCTGGTGCGAGAGATCCAATGCCCGTGGATAACATGGTGCAGGTGTGCCAGCTTGTGGACATGGGCTTCCCGCGCGCCGACGCCGTGCGCGCGCTGGAGCAGTCGAACGCCAGCCTCGAGCAGGCCGTCGCGCTCCTCTGCGCGGGCACGCTCGGCGCGGAGCCGGAGCCGGCGCCGCCCGTGCGGTCCGCGGCGCTGCTCCCCGCAGAGGCGCTGCCCTCCATCACAGGGCGGCGCCTCTGCGAGGACCAGCACCCGGGCGGCGAGCACCCGGGCGGCGAGCACAGCGCCCGCACCGCTGCGGCGCAGGATCCCCCGCTGGGCCCGGTGGCGCTGCGGTGGGCCGACGACCCCGAGATGAGTGCGGGCCAGGAGCTGCCTGGCGTGCGGGAGCCTCTGGCGAGCCCTCGCAAGGACGGTCTGCCCTGCGGCCTGCTCAACATCGGCAACACGTGCTACGTGAACTCCCTGCTCCAGACCCTGCTTCACATCGCCGAGTTCCGCGAGAGCATGCTGGCGTACAGGACGCCCGCGGAGGCCGGCGGGCCGGGCGAGGCACAGGACGCACGGGCAGAGCCAGAAGTGGAGCAGGGCCGCCCCAGCGAGGCGCCGGGCGCTGGCCAGCGGCGAGCGCACTGCCTGAAGCTGTCCTCTGAGCTGCGGCGCTTGTTCGCCTACAGCCTCTTCACGGCCCGGAGCTGCATGGACCCGTCGAGGCTGCTGAGCGAGCTCGTCGATCAGCGCGGGCAGAAGCTGCCCATCGGCAGCCAGGAAGACGTGGGCGAGTTCATGCTCAAGTTCATGGAGCAGCTCGACGAGGGCGTCCGCGCGGGCCGGGTGGAGTCGTGGCCTGGGCCTCAGGAGGCCGTGCAGCGAGCCCTTGGCGTCGGCGGTGCGGGGCTGGACGCCGGCAAAGGCAGCGCAGAGGGCACCAGCGACGGCGGCGCCGTGCATCAGGCCGGCGACCCTCCTGGATGCAGCGAGGCGGCCCTCGGCAGCAAGGACACGGCAGCTGCACCCGAGGCCGGCGGCCCCGCCTGTGAGAGCCAGGGCGAGGCCGAGGAGAAGGGCGAGAGGGGTACGGAGGCAGCGCCGGCCGAGAAGAAGGGCGACCCCCTGGAGCAGCAGGAGAGGGTCTCGCTGCTGCAGAAGCTGTTCTTCGGGGAGCAGACCCAGATCCTGACCTACGGCCCGAGCTCTCCAGAGGGCAGCCCCACGAAGGACGGCTCGATGGACGAGGGCGAGGGTCTGCTCCAGAAGGGCGGCGAAGCTGGCGAGGAGAGCCAGGTCACTGCCAGCGAGGAAAGGAGCGACTTCCTCCAGATTTTCTTGGAGGTAAACCGCGGGGACTTCTACGAGGCCTGGGAGGCGGCCAACTGCACTGAGGTGGACTACACCACCCCTGGCGGCGAGGCCACGACCGCGAGCAAGAGCATATGGATCGAGCGGCTGCCGAAGGTGCTCTTCTTCCAGCTGCAGCGGGTGGGCTTCGACCAGGAGAACAAGGCTCATTCATAGCCAGGGCCACAGGTAAAGGGAGCCGGTTAGTGATAGGGCACCGAAGCCAAAAACAAATGCTGGAAACACAAAGCCAGGTCTGACGTAGTTTGTGGTTTTCGGGTGACGTCAGTTCTGGTCAACGAAATGGGGCGAGGAAACGTCCCCAAGGACTTCTCACCAAACCAGGTCCCACTAAACCCAGTCCTGTCAACGCCCGAAAGGCGCACGTCTAGCTGCTATGCCGTAGTTTGTGTTCCTCGGGTGACGGCAGGTCCAGTCAGTGGCGTCCCCGAGGACACAGCACCAAACCAGGTCCCGCCAAGCCCAGTCCTGCCGATGCCCGACAGCTACAGGTCTAGCTGGTCTGCCGAACTTTGTGCTCTTCGGGTGACGGCAGCTCTGGCCCGTGCAGTGGGGCGGGGGGGCGGCGCCCCCGAGGACAGCACAAAACCAGGTCACACCAAACACAGTCCTGCCAATGCCCGAAATCCGCGGGACTCGTCGGACAACATGTAGGACCTGTGGGGCATACGACACCTGCGACATCTGGAACTTATGAGACCTGCGAGACCTGCGAGACATGTGGGATCCATAAAAGTGGCCCACGCTGTGGTGAGAATGCAAGTCTGAACGACGGGAGCACAGCGCCGATCCGAAAAGCGCCACAGGCACAAACTGTTGGCGCTCCGCGCGGGCTTCTCGGACCTGCGCCGGGCGCCCCTGGAATCGCGCCTCCGGCGCCGCCCGGGGCGCGCTCCGCGTGCGCAAGGAGGGGGGGCCCAGCTCAGCTCCAGGAACTGCGCGCGGACCGCCCAAAGTCTACACATTCGTCGTTTCTAACTCTTCAAAATTCTTTGATCTCTGGGGGGCCAAGATCCTTTCATTTCTAACTAATTGTTCTATCCTGGGCCTCTTCCTGGCCACCATAGGGGGCCAGGAACAGTTAGAAACGAGCACAATTAGGACTGAGCACGATTAGAAATGAGCGACGTGTATGCTTGTGCCGTTATTCTTGCTCCTCTGGCCCTACCCATGCCCGACAGGCGCAGGTAAAGCTGCACGACCCGTTCCACTTCCCCTCCAAGGTTTACGCGGACCGCTTCCTGCGGCCCAACCGGGCGGCGGCGGCGCGGGCCGCCGGTCGCGTGCGCGGGCTGCGGCGGCGGCGCGCGGAGCTGGCGGGCGCCCTGCGGGGCTTCGAGGCTTGCCAGCCAGGGGCGTCGGCCGAGCAGGCTCGGGCTGGCTGCAGCTCAGAACGGCAGGTACCCAGAGATCCAACGTCTTGAAAAAATCAAGACGGAGGTTTTTCCCAACTTTCGGCCTCCAAGGGCCCTCGCCGTGCCCCGGGACCGTCAAGAAACGGCTCAGGATGACAAACCGGTCCTGGAGAAGGGGTCGAGACTTGGGGCGACCGCGTATCAAATATATCACGACATCGGATCTCTGGGCATCGGGGTGGAAGGATGGGGTTGGAGAAGTGAGGATATCATTGCCCGTGGGCGGCCGAAGGTATCGCGCATTGCATCCGAATGCTATTGCTCATGACCTCATACGGTTCATCCTCCCATCGGCGTCACCCCAGCATGCTTATACTATATGTGCGTCGCCCCCCCAGGGGCAACGCGCGCACCGAGAAATCTTATAGTACATGTGTCGCGGCGGGCGCGTTCTGGCAACACCGCTCGGGAAAGGATATACTGCAAGATGGGTACATCGTATGTTCGGGTCGGACGCCCGCCTCCAAGGAGAACAGATAGTACTAGTATGTCTGTGCGCGTCCCATCAAAAACCCCCTTCCTCAGCACGGCAATTGCTCTCCTCAGCAGCGTGGGGTGGGGCGCAGTAGACGTGCGCCACGGGGGAAGCGGCTCCTGAGAGACACAGGGCCCGGGGGGTTCGCAGGCTTCGGGCTCTCAGGGCCCTCCACAGGCCCAGGGACTGTCCGACAACGGCTCAGGTGTGACTAAATCAGCTCTCCTCCTGCTCCTCCTCCTCCTGCTCCTCCTACTGTTCCTCCTGCTCCTTCTCCTTCTCCTGCTCCTCCTACTGTTCCTCCTGCTCCTCCTCCTGCTCCTCCTCCTGCTCCTCCTACTGTTCCTCCTGCTCCTCCTCCTCCTGCTCCCCCTCCTGATCCTTCTTCTCCTCCTCCTCCTCCTCCTCCTCCTTCTCCTCCTCCTCCTCCTCCTCCTCCTCCGCCTGGGGGGGGAGGCCCCAGTATCCAGGGCCCGCTTCCCTCAGGACCCGTGTCCCCCATGCTAAAGCGTGGGGGGACAGAGGACTGCACGAAGGTGACCCTAAAGGGGGCAGGAGCGGCCCCTGCGTAAGCTGCCGCCGAGGGCGCCAAAGGTGCACGAGAGTTACGCTGTTCCAACCTGCTTTAGCCTTGATCTCCAGAAAAAAATCGAGCACCAAGAAAGTACCGAAACTTGAAGGTTTTCACGAGTGGGGCCCTGGGAGGCGACACTCGTTCGACACTGTTTCGACACTTTTCTGTGTGCTCGAAATTATTTCTGTTACGTGGTCCCTAAGCACGATGGGGGCAACATAACGCGAGAGCTGCACGTGGCGGGGCCCAGCGCTGACGAGGGTCGGCCAGGGCGCCAGCTCTTGCAGGAGCCTGCAAGGCCAGATCTCGGCTGGGCAGTAGTTTTTGTGGGGGGGCCCTGAGGTGGCCTTACCCAGAGATTCAACGCATAGAAAAAATCAAGACGGAGGCTTTCCCAATTTTCGGCCTCCAAGAGCTCTCGCCGGGCCCCGGGACCGTCAAGAAACGGCTCAGGATGAAAAACCGGTCCTGGAGAAGGGGTCGAGATTTCCAGGGACCGCGCATGGAAAAAATCACGACGTCGGATCTCTGGGTACATCCCGTTTCAGCCGGGTTTGGGAAGACCCCCCCCCAAAAAAACAGCAAAGTCGGCCAGGACGCCAGCTCCTGCAGGAGCCTGCAAGACTGGATTTCGGCAGGGCCAGTTTTGGGGGGCCTGAGGAAGAGGAGGAGGAGGAGGAGGAGGAGGAGGAGGAGGAGGAGGAGGAGGAGGAGGAGGAGGAGGAGGAGGAGGGAGGAGGGAGGAGGAGGAACAGCGCAGCTGTCCCTAGATGGGCCGGGCCGGGTCTGCGCCGAGCCGGGTCCGCCCGCACCAGACAGGTGCTCGGCTGGGCGGCCGACTGCCTGGACGGGAACAGTGCCGCGGTGGCGTCCAAGCCTGGCAGGCCCGGCGCCGGGGAGGCCGGCGCTGCGTCCGCGGAGCATCGAGGAGGAAAAAGCTGCACAAGCCCCCAGAGATCCGACGTATTGAAAAAATCAAGACAGGTTTTTCTCAATGTTCTGCCTCTGGGAGCCCTCTCCAGGCCCCGGGACCGTCAAGAAACGGCTCAGGATGAAAAACCGGTCCTGGGGAATGGGTCGAGTTTTCCAGGGACCGCGCATTGAAAAAATCACGACATCGGATCTCTGGGAGCCTGAACATTCGACGGTCCGCGCGGACTTCTTGGAGCTGCGCTGGGCCCCCCGGCGGTGCCTCTGGCGCCGCCCC